TTCCAAGACCATGGAACGTCGAGAATTTAAAAATATATTACAAGTAATCAGTTTTAAGTAGTCAAGCCTGCGTGCTAAGGTTCACGTTTTCAGTTCTCAGGCCTGCATGCCAAGATTCACGTTTTCATTTGTCAGGCCTACGTGCCAAGTCTATTTTTAAAGTACAATAAGAATTAAGCTATTCATCGAAATGTGATCTCACTATCAAAAGCCTTGCCTCGCGCAAGAAACTTAAAAGCCTTGCTCCGAGCAAGCACCTCAAAAGTCTTGCCCCGCGCAAGCACCTAAAAAGCCTTGCCCCGTGCAAGCACTTCAAAAGCATTGTCCCGCGCAAGCACTCAAAGCCTTGCCCCAAGCAAGCACCTAAAGAGCCTTGCCCTGAGCAAGCACTAAAAGCCTCGCTCCCCGCAAGCATCTAAAAAAGCCTTGCCCTGAGCAAGCACCAAAAGCCTTGGCCTACACAACCACTCATGGAAAAACTCGACCATACAACATACTCGAGCAAAAATCGCGATAGTAATGCTCGGTAGCATATAAAAGTTCTCCATCTTTTTAGGCAAATTCCCGAGGACGTCGCATGAGTAATTACTTTTTTTTTAAAGTTAATGTGCTCCAGTTGTGAAGTCCTCGAGTATATCAAAAACCCCGAGGACGTTGCATGAGCAATTACGTCTTTTTAGAGTTAGTGTGCTCAAGATGTGAAGTCCTCGAGTATATCAAAAACCCCGAGGACGTCGCATGAGTAATTCTTGTTGCAGTTAATGTGCTCGAAGTGTGTGAAGTCCTCGAGTATATCAATCCCCCGAGGACGTCGCATGAGTAATTACTTCTTTTTAGAGTTTGTTTGCTCTAGATGTTTGAAGTCCCCGAGGTCGGGGTGACTAATTACCTCACGCGATTTTCTTTTTTACTATTAGCACACGAGATCGGGATGACTAATTAACAGTTCATAACTAAAAGGCAATGTTCATTCAATAACAGCAAAACATTGTACAATCATCGGGCAAAAAACTTGTTCAAAAAATTACAAAGCAAGAGATCGGGGTGGGGCACTATCCAATATGGCTAAGGGGAGGGTTGAGGTTGTGGATGTCGATCTGTACGTCATCCTCAAGGCCTTCCTCGTCGTTGTCTCCACCTGATCCTCTATCTTCCGCACCCGAGAGCTCCAAGGTATCAGCAATAGAAGGCACGGTCTTCAGGTCATCCGGGGCGATGTCGGGTAACTTCAGACGAAGGAAGGCCCGGGCCTCCTTCAGAGCGTAGAAGTACGCCCCCGACGCGTACTCACCCTTAATCTTGTCACAATCCTCAGAGGTTTTAAACTCCTCCCAGGCCTTCTCATTGACATCCGCGAGCTCGCGCTCAAAATCCTTCGTCTTTTGGATAAGCTCAAGCCTTGCACCCTCGACCTCATCCTTTGCAACACTAAGGTCATCCCTGGCCTTAGCAGCCTCCCTTTTCGCGTCATCACACTCTTTCAATAAAGCCTCGACCTCTGCCTCGGAGTCAAGAATCCTCCTGTCCTTAGAGGCCATGGAGGTCTCCACCCAGTCGCTTTCTTGGCTTCCTCGATCCCTTGAAGAGAAAGCCCTCGAGCTACACTCAACGTCTGAAAAAGAAAATTTTTAGGGTATTAATCTCGATGAAGAAACTAAAAGCTGAAGTCAAATGTTCGAGGATTACCTTCATAGTAAGACGCTAGAGGACCTTCATCCCATCCTCGAGCTTCACCTCCTCCTTGTATTTGTTCACAAGATCGGGAACGAGGTGGCAACGTTCAAAGTCCTCGGTCAGGGAATTCACCAAAGGAACCGTGTCCTCCTCGAGGTCGACTACCTCAGAAGGAGGTCGAGGAGTAAAGACCCGAGAAGTAGGAGATCTCTGGCTCGGCTGCAAAGGGCTTGAGGCTTGAGATTGTGCTCGATATGTTTCGCCAGGCCCCCTCACACTTTGCTCAGGGGTTCTTTGAGGACTTTTTTTGCTCTTCTTCTTCGTCGGGGGGCTGCCCTTGTGGATGGGCATCAGCTCTTGTGCTGACAAAATTTCGGAGGGCTCGAGGATCAAACGACATACCTGCAAGATTACAACACTTTAGAATGAGCACAAGGTCAAGCTATTTTGCAAAAAATAAGGGAACATCTCTACCCTCGACACCTCTAATATCTGCGAGGTCTATAACCTCTTTCCCAATCTCCTTCATCGTCGAGAAAAGGGGGTTGAGCCCCATCAGCATCCTCCTATGCTCTTCCAACACATCTGGATACACCTGGGTCTCACAGAACTTCTCGGCGTCGGGGATTCCCCAATCAGGCCAGAAAGGAAGGTCGGGTTCTTGCGCTATTACATAAAACCACCCCTCCCTCCACCCCTTTAGAGAACTCGCCATCCTCGGAACCTTAAAACCTTCTATCATCGAGAGATAGCCAAAACAAGTATATCGATGATGCTTCTTAAGCTCAAACACTAATTTACAGAGGTCAATTTTGGGCTCGATACCTAAGTACCTACAAGCTATAAAAAAATATACGAGCATTCTCCAGGCGTTGGGCACTAACTGCCCCGGGCACATGGAGTGCTCGATCAACAAAGCAATGAAAAAGGGGTGAAGGGGCCACCTAAAGCCAGCCTTAAGGGTCTCTCTAGAAATAACAAACTCCCCTCATCGAGCTCGAACAATCCTATCCTCGGGGCCAGGAAATCTAACATCACAAATAGGCATAATACTATATTCCCTAGCCGCAGCAATAGCTGAGTGCTCTTTTAGCCTACATGGTTCATCGGGATAATCGAAGATCATATTAACCTGGGCCTCGGGAGTAGCCTCTAGGGGAATAGTCGTCGATATTATCGACGTTCCTACGTCCTCGCTACTACTCGAACTACTGGATAAATCACGACCCTCGCTACTCGACATCACTTAATGAACTTAAGACCTAGCTTATGGAATAACTTAGAGTCTCGAGCCTTACCTTGAGTTTCCCGACGACTTGAGAAGTTCCCAAAGTATTTTTCTCGAGCACAACCTCACATAGCTTAGATTTACAGTGGGTAAAAGTGATAAATGAAGGTGATAACAGCAGTATTACAGGTGAAAACGACGAAAGGCCAAAGGTCGCCATCTACGGCCGTCCATGAAGACACGTGTCACAAATCCAAGCCCCTTCTCTGCAACGGTCATATTGATATCGATTTCTATCATCAGCCAGTATTTCTCGACGACGCTGCCTAAAGCGAAGTGTTCGTAACTCAGGTGCACCCCATCCCAGAGCTCGATCTCTAGGAGGACTGCACGGGGGCTAGTGATGATACCAATATTGTATACCCAAGGACCATTTCCTCGAGGACTCCATACGTGCTCCGCTTACTTTTCTGCCACATGTCCTTGAGATCTTTCTAGTCCTCGAGGTATTTTGGTCCTCGAGGAAATCTCATACGAATATAAAAATCACCCCATGGTCCTCGAGAATACATATTCCATTAACAGATCTTCTAGACTTATGTGCCTAACAATCGGACACCTAAACACCTAAAAACTCTATATCAACTCTTACACCACTAGTCAAACAATTCCATTACGAGTAGGAAATTCCTCACAAACAGGACTCCATTGGATAAATACATCCAACTGGCACAATCCTACTAGGAGTACACTACCTACCTCTATAAATATAGAACCTTGGGCCATTATTCAGGTATGTTTTCTCATTATTCTCCAGTTTATAGTTTCACGCATATAATTTCCTTTCTAACTTAAGTATCGGAGGGGCGACGAGAACATACCTCATTGCCTTTATTTTAGGTACTGGAAGACTACGATCGTGCTCAATCAAAATCATCAAACTCGGGAAATCAACAGGTACGATTTTTGGTAGCATCAGACATAATTCTTCATGGCCCTAGATTTCGATTTGATCTAATTGCCATCCACTTTATTTCCCTGCTTTTTTGGCAGAGAAACTCCTCATTTTGGTTATGA